AATACGTTCTATTGTCTTTATTTGTTTATAGAAGAAAAGAAAAAGGAGATGGACTTAAGGAAATGCATGATATAGTATTGGATCCTTTTCTCTTTCTGTACACGCGCGGAAGGCAGATAACATAACGCCAGGCTAGAGAAGCCTCAATATTAAAAAGGACAAAGCTCTGGGATTTTAATATTCTATCAAGTTTAATGTGTCAATCGTCCATTCATCGTAGCCCGCCTTACTTTCCTCAAGAGTATGTGTAGTGAGTTTAAAATATATCTCAAAATATAAAGCCTTTTTGCGCGCTGAGTGTTTTTGTCCGTATTCCCGAGAGATCCCAGCTGACTATCCTCGAATAAATAAAATAAACAATTAGAGCATCGAAAAATCTAAAAGAGTTATTCTTATTTTGTGACAATTTTTCAGTTTCTACGTCATTCTGAAAGGTAGTGCAGCAGTGTACACAAAGAAAGAAGGTGAAGGAGAAGTCCACGTGTCTCACGAGACGAGCGTTCGAAGTCACAAGGAAAGGCTCGTGCTTTTTGGTACAGAAATCAATAACCTTAAGGCTGGGAGAAGCTTTGGTGAATCTGTTATGATGGAAGAGAGAAAAGAGCGGAACGCTACCGTCATTGCAGACGAAGCGACGACTATTATAAGCATCGATGACAAGCTTTATCAAAGAACTTTGCTGAGTCACAATTTGGAATGGAAAAATAAGACAGACTTTGTAAGAAATTCGCCTCTTTTTAAAGAGTGGCCAAATGCATACAAGAGTTTGTTGATAGAAAATCTGAGGTTTCATAAAGTAAACTTTGGAAACATGATTGTGAAGCAAAACACGCCATGCAACAGTCTTTTCTTCATCGCTAAAGGCACGGGAAAAGTGATCGTTGAATCGAGTGTTGCAGCCAAGCAGTACAAGTCCTTGAAGCCAAAGAAATCGAAAGTAATCGAAAGTGCCAAACCAGAAACGCCAATGAATGAAGTAAGTCCACAGATTTCTAAATTTTGTTACTAATTCGCTCGCGTATGTGCTGGCCTATACTAAAATTAAGGACTATATCTTGTATGTCCAATTGTCCTCACTTCCTTTGACAAATTGTCCCTCCCATCCCATTGTCCCTGGGATTATCCTTTGTGTATCCCTTTGTCCGCACTACATTTGACAAGGGGTCCCTCCCATCCACTTATCCCTAGGGATCCCTTGTATGTCCCCTTGTCCCCACTGCCTTTGACAAAGTGTCTCTCTCAGCCCCTTATCCTTGGAGATCCCCTGGACAGCCCTTGTATTTCCCTTTGTCCGCACTACATTTGACAAGGGGTCCCTTCTATATCCCCTTATCCCTGGGGATCCCTTGTATGTCTCCTTGTCCCCACTGCCTTTGACAAGGTGTTTCTCCCATCCCCTCGTCCCTGGGGTTCCCCTGGACATCCCTTGTATGTCCCTTGCTGTCCCCACTACTTTTGGAAAGGTGTCTTTCTCAGGTGTCTTTTTCAAAACATTGATAACGTCAGCGTGATAGATGTAATATCAAAGTAAGTATTTTCTTTTAACTTTCCTAGAACGAGGAAGAAAAGGCGATGACAGTGATCGAGAGACGGCGCAAGCGTCTCCTATTTGGTTACATTGCAATGGAGAGACGTTTAAGGGCTCGTCAAACACAGATCGCTGTAATAGGAGAGAATGACATCATTGGAGATCTAGAAATGGTCCTAGATCTACCCACCTTTAGCGTCAGCGTAGAATGTTTGGAATCTCTTGAATGCTACGAACTTGACAAAGTGAATTTCCATCGATTGATTGTCAAACGAAATCCTGAGACCTTAGATATGATGAGAAATGTAGCTGTAGCTAAACTGAAATACCGCTTAAACCGACTATCGCACATTCCGTACTACCAACTACTGGTAGAAAAGGCGGAACAAGACTACATCAAACCTCCAACAAAAGTCATTAAAGCAAGACCCAAAGCTTTGGTAGGTTTTATCGAAGGAGGAAAGAAAGCGAGTGGGAAAAACTTCCTAAAAAGAGTTAGTATTGCGATGTCGAGGAGTTCGGGATCTGGTGACTTGAACAAGCAAAGCGCTCCATCAACGGCTACTGAAGACAGAAAACAAAGGTAACATTGCTTTTGTATTCTGGTTTGAAAAAGTATTATAGTAACGGAACAAAAGGCAATGAATAGTGGTAATTATGACTACCTACATTTTAAGCGGGTCTCGGCATAAAATAAGAACTGTGAATAGCACTGTCTCATTGCGGAATTGCCCTATTTCTCTATAACGTCACTGCTTGTTTATGTGGGGGATAGAATCGCCAAATCCAATAGAAAGTTCAACAATATTTGCTCCTAGCGAAACAGTCTAAAATGGCCTGGTTTTCAGATATAATATGTGTTGATATGTACTAAAAAATATTCTGAGCGTTTGCTGGCTACTCTACTTCTCTTCGTGGATTGATACGGGTTTTAGAACAATTTTTGGTGAATTTGCGTTGATTTGACCCCCTCCGACGACCATGATCCTTTGCGATGTGACGTCATAGTGAAATAGGGTAATTGAAGAAAAGCTTTGGACTAATTACAATGCGCGAAATAAATGCTCACGGTCGCAGCACGGTGTCGCGGCACGGCACATTCGTCCGAGTTATACGAGTTATCGGCTTTTACAATTTTCGCTCTTCTCTTGGATATTCTTACAGTGTAGATCTRTAATGCTGAGTTGTCTTACTTTGTTGCAGTGTTAGCCAGGGTGCAGGAGAATCAAAGGAAAAAGAGAGACGAAGAGCAGACAAAAAGGTAAGACTTAGGCCCTGGCTAAACGAGAAAACATGTTTCCAGAAGCATGTTTAGTACCGCTCGCATGTTTCCTGACAGTTTTGCTTTGGATTACGGAAATGGTTCTGGAATCATACATACACACTATACCAGTCGCAACACATACGTACATACACATTTATTGCTACTGGTATAAAAGACAGCTCTTGAACATTCTCTTGTTGTTTTGTTGGTGTTGTTGTGTTTTTGTTTTTTGTTTTTGTTTTGTTGTTGTTGTTGTTTGTTGTTGTTGTTTTTGTTRTTTTTGTTGTTTTTTTGTAACAAATGTTTCGCATATTTACGAAATAGTAGAGCAAAGATTTTCTGTAATATATCGTGTTAAAAAAGAGGAAAAGGGGGGTCCGGACCCCCTGGATCCGCCTCCCTTGCACCTTATGTGATTATGGAGAAATATGAAAAGCTTGCAAGTCTGGGGTTGAGAACAATTTGTACTTCTTGACTTCAAAGTCCAAAATCCATGATTCAGGATACGAATTTTGAGGTTTATGATCCCTCTGATTCCCTTAAATACGATGAATAATATCAGAGTTATCTGTGATCATATTGCCAACATCTATTATCCTAACAAATCCATGAAATCATTCTTTCATAGGATGGCAAAAAGCAATACACAGCAGAAGAATTCCGAGCACTAAAAAAGAAAGTTCAGTCCACAGGAAAGTTAATCCGACGAATCTCCGACTAATGTTTTTAATTTTTCTTGTTTTTGATAAAAAAATTGTATATCAACTTGAATATTATAATTCATTGGATTTGATATGGAGACAAATACAACTACTTTTTACCCCCTCGTATTTTTTTCTTCTATTCTTTGTGTGTAACCACGTACAGAGATTAACGTTTTGACTATCGATCAAAATTGTTTACAGTTGGCAGATTTTTTGTTTAAAGACTGAATAGTTTTCATGGCTGTGAATTTTGAACTCTTTTGCATATCAAACTTTCCACATAGAAAAGTTGTCGTTCCGCTCGAGCTGTTTCTTTTACCATATATGGAATGCACTTACCATATTAGGAAATTGGAATATAATTTTCTTCACTAAATAGGCGAATTTCTTGCTCAAAACTGCTCAAATTTACAGTAAATCGAGTGAAAACATCACTAACTATCAGCCATCTTGGTTTTGGCCGAGAAAAGACTGGAAATTGTGTAGGGGAGGGGAGCGTGTYTTGTCACCACAGGAAGCCCGCGAATGACAACAATTGTTTGATATGTATTGTTTTCAAGAATATTGGGCGCTGTCATCAGACAGTTAAAATTCTTTTTTTTTGCTTTCTTCCTTTTCTTTCTTTTGCTTTTCTTTTCTTTATTTTTTCTTCTTTTTTTGCTTATTTTTTTCAGTTCATGAGTTTGAAATTATAATAACCTATGAAAGTTCTACCAAGGAAATTATAGATTACAAAAAATAAATAAAAAAAAAAAAAAGGATATAATAATAAAAAGGGAGGAAAAAAAAAAAAAAAAAAAAAAAAAAAAAAAAAAAAAAAAAAAGGATATACAAAATATATATATGTAAAAAGAATAAGAATACCAATGGAATATTGCCAGGTGCTGGATGGAAAACAAACGAAAACAAAACAAATAGAAATATAGAACATTCATAATTTAACATTAAAAATTATCATAGAATATTGAAAATCTCAGAGGAAAAAAGATACATAACTTCACTGAACTTTTGGAGTTTCAATAGCCCTTTGAATCTTTAACTGAATCAGTTAAGTTTATATCTCGTATCTTGGAAAAGTGCTGGCTATTCAGCAATATTTTTATTCGTGGTAAATTTTTCATATCTCCGTATTTCTGGTTTAACTTTGTACAATCTTTTCGTAAAGGATCAGTTGTTCGCAATGCGCCTTTGTGAGCTCGTTGTCAACAACCTTTGTCTTAATACAGCCTTGATATAAAGTGGTATAAAGTAGAAAATAAAGAGCGCAAGCTGTTGCCACTAGAAACAAATACTTAGTTACTTAAAAGACAAAGGGTTTTTCAGGCATATACTATCGTATTCTAGTTTAATTAGCGTGGCTTTGCAACTTTGAAATTTAATTATTTTAAGATCTTGACCGATAAAAGTTGGATTTTAATTTGTACGAAGCCAAAAGCAGTTTTGGTGTCACAATGAATGTACAAAAATCAGATGTCTAGGTTTACAAGCCTACAAAACTTTGAAAGGTAAAAGGAAAAAGTGTTGGGAGATGCTGGTAAGTCTGCTGGTAATTTATTTTATAAACTAAATTCTAAATTCAAAATGAACTGAACACACATATTTTCAAAAACTTATAATATTTGCACACACATACACACACATATTTGCATAACAGTAATTTAGATAAAATTAAAGGAGAGTTTCAGAACTTATTTTCGAAATATTTGAGCCTGAATCTTTTATCTCGAAAACATCGACTTTCAAAAATAATTTGAGTAACTTTTTGAGTAACTCGGTATTTTATTTTTTGTTTTTCGTTTTTGGAATGGAGCTACAATACATCCATCAAAGTTCTTGAGCGTATCAAAAACAAAAATACTTCAAATTAAATTTCTTTATGTTTGTGAGCCGAGGTCCAGGTTTCGCATAATCCTCAGGTGAATCTCTATCTCTGTTTCAACTTCTCTCTAATCCTTGTAGCTTCAATTTTCGAATACTCTTAAAGTTTTTCTATTCTGTTATGCAAAACTTTTTTGATTGGCTTTTAAACAAACTTTCTTAAGTTGGATGGAAGTTTATTATCCACGAAATATTTGTACACGGTTTAAAAAGAATTTATCAAAATGAAACTTTTGGATAAAATAGTTTGTATGCCAAAAAGATATTATGAGGCTTATTCGAACATTTTTTTGCTGAGATTTTTAGAAAAGCRCTAAAAGGATAGTTCTTCTGTCTATAAACAAGTTAAGCGTTAATGGATCTCAGAAAAAAATCATTCTCAAGACTGAGCGTTGAAGTGCGGCCCGCGAAGTTTGATGTCTCGTTAGCTGACTAGCATTTCAAAGAACTGCAATTAAAAACAATATCTTGAGAAAGATTTTAGACTGAGTTAAATGTTGAATGTTTAAATGTCTAAATGCCCGGCAGCCGGTCGCGGTCTAAAATTGACTAAATGCCCGGCAGTCCAAACTTTCACAAAAAAAACGAGAACTGGCTACAGCTAATGGAATCAAACTAGTCTAACTTTATTGTGGTATATTAAACGCTTCCTGTAGAATGGACTGATTCGAAAAAAGATTGTCTGTATTCGCTCGACATAGAATACGGAGCACTTGGTTCATGTCACTTAGAATATTTTCGCCAACACTGCCGGTCGCAATTTTCGCAAAAAATACGATAAATTACCTACGTTAATGAAGCCAAACTAGTCTAAATTTATCGAGGAATATTATGCGCTTCTTGCACTCTACACTGCTTCTAATAAGGATTGTTTGTCTTTGCTCGGCATAGAATACCGAGCACTTGGTTCATGTCACTTAGAATATTTTCATCAACACTGCCGTCCGCGGTCTCAAATACACTAAATGCCCGGTAGTCCAAACTTTCCGATAAAATGATATTAAAATGATACTATCGTCGTTTATGTTTTTGCGAAGCAATACGAAACAATCCTTATTAGAAGCAGTGTAGAGTACAAGAGGCGCTTAATATTCCTCGATAACTTTAGACTAGTTTGGCTTCATTAACGTATGCGTAGGTAATTTATCATATTTGGACTGCCGGGCATTTAGTCAATTTTAGACCGCGACCGGCTGCCGGGCATTTAGACACTGCGAATATTTAAACCCTCTAATCCTCTAAAATCTTTAATTCACACTCCAAATATAATGACTTTTACCGGCATGGAATGACAATTTTATAGTTAGATATTACAGTATATTTAATTTTTTCATCTTGAACTTTTCTCTGTGATTGAAAATGTCTAGAATCTATATAATGGATCGCGGGCTTTTGGGGTCTCTAGGTGTAAGAAGCAGGTGCTATCTATCGATATTTCTTCGTTAATTTGTCAAGATTTCATTCGATTGTGGAACAACATACGCGGCACTTCCAAAAAGGACCTTTTTATTTTTAATTAAAAATCAGGTATTATAACTGAGTGTTCTTTCAAAAATGAAATAATAATAATAATAATAATAATAATAATAATAAAGTTTATTTATATAGCGCTCATATCCATGAGCATGTCCAAGGCGCTTTACAACAGGAATATATGCATAAATTATATATATGTATTTACAATATTTACAATGCTACGTATTTAAAATATTAATAAGTAAATCTAATTATAAAATAAAAATATGGTGGCCGACTTATTTTGATATTTCAAAGCAAGATGGAAATCAAACTTCCAATAATAAACTGAATATTTGAACCTCGATAGGAACGCATGAGTTTGGTTGTAACAGTTCCACCAGGATCGTAGCAAGTGAGAGTTAACGTTAGGGGGTGAGGGACAAAGACTTAAAAAAATATTAAACTTCAGTTCTTGCTTTCTTTTTCTTTTTCTTTTGTTTTCATGAAAATAATAAGTCTAATTCTTATTGATTTGATAGTTTTTCTTTGAATATTATTACAAGTTGCGCATGAGCAGACACAACACATGATTATACATTTCAAACAAAGACAYGTTTACATTATTTTGTTTTCAGGTACTCAACACGTTGATATTTTTTGGATTTTTTGCAGTAGGAGAAACCTACCACCGTAAGTATACCACAGTTAACTGTATGAACAATATCATCATATATTAACATCAGCATCATCATATATTACAGTATTATACATTATTATAGTTTGTACATTTTTTAGTGCCGTTGGTTTTTGTGAACATTCTCATACTGATATGAGGCTAATTAGGTCTTGAATCAAGATATTTGACGAATTATAGTTTAAAAAAAGGTGTATTCCAATCATCAGTTATTTAATCATCAGTTTGCTTTCCTGTTTTAGTGGATTGTTTGGATGCACTTCACAAAGGCAATCGTGAAGATGGCGTGTATAACATAAAACCTTATCACTGGGTCAGCCCCTTTAAAGTCTTCTGCGACCAGACGACGTTCGGTGGTGGTTGGGTCGTCATCCAACGTCACTCCTCAAGCCAAATAAGCTTCCAAAGAACTTTGACAGAGTACGAAAATGGTTTTGGGAATATTTCTGATCAGTTCTGGATTGGTAACAAATTCATTCACCTCTTGACGACTAGTCCTCATAATCTACTGGTGCAACTTGAAAGAGACTACTCTGGCTTTGCGCATGCGCACTATGATTCTTTCTCCGTTAGTGACAATTCATCTGGGTATACGTTACGTGTCAGCGGATATTCTGGAAGCGCAGGTGACGCGTTGAGGGAACTCGATAATGTAGCTTTTTCAGTCAGAGAATCAAGCCTATCAACTAGTGGATGGTGGCACAGCAACGTCACAAGAAAGGCAGATCTGAATGCACCTTACAGTTTCAATCCAACTAAAAGGGTATGGCAAGATTATGGAGGCTCTTTTGCTCACTCACTAACATGGACGGAAATGAAAATCAAGCCCGAAAGAGGTGAGGTTGCAAGAAATTTAGTTTAATAAAATTGACAGAGTTAGATAAATGTCTTGAATTTGGAATATTTTGTTCAGTGTTCCGTAAATGAAAAATCACACGACCTTTACTTATTTGAAGTTAATAATTTGCACTTGCTTAGGTTCGTCCAACTACAAAAACTTTCAATACATCACTTGTACCTATTAATAATGATCTGAGGAAGAACGATTTCCTTTACAAATCGCGATGTATTTCTGAATCCAACGTAATCTGCTCTCAAAATTCGCCGAAATATGAAGCGAAAAACGTTCTCAGTGATTTAACCTCCAACTGAAAAAATTCAATAGATTCTTTGGACATCAAATCCTTTAATATTAGAAGGAAATACAAGAATTTGAATCTAGCTTCTAGTGTCGTTACCACAGCGTATTAATAGCTACGTTTTTTTCCTAGAGAGAAAGTGGAATGAAATGTTGTTTGTAGACTATCCAAACACAGTTCGTTATCCTTTAAGTGGTAACTTCTCGGCTCTATCGATTTGTTGGTGGATGAAGAGTTTCATATTCTTATCATTGAGGAAAATATTTAGCATTGAGTCAAGTGGACAGCTCTCATTCGTACTCTTGATGCAGCAGTTCAACACTTCACAAAAAGTAATTAAAGTTAGGTTGCTACAGAATAACTTGTAAGTATTATAGTAAGTATTTGTTTGCGTAGTCCTCCCTCCCTTCAAGTTTCAAGTTTTCAAGTTCATCATATAAATAAAGATTTTGATATTTACAAATTTATTACCCTACCGCAAATAGCAAAATCTAATCTAGACCTCCCTTCCTCCCTTCCTC